CATTTTTTACAATGTGCATTCATTTTTTTTTCATTTGAAAAACTTATTTTCCCTAAAAAATATTCAAAAAAAACTTTTCTATTTTGTGAGACGTAGACAGTATACAGAGCAAGTCAAAAACCCTTAATTTGAAGAAAAAGCTAGATAGGTAAAAACCCCTACAATTTAACCCATGGCAGGTATAGGAGAATAAATTAAAAGTGTAATTTAGTGCGGTATTTATAGATTCAGGGGTATCTAGAATGAACCACAATTAGAGTAGTGTTCGTCTATTCGAAGTCCTTGCAAATATAAAGAAAGATAGACCGATTCGACTAAAACGCCTTTACACCTCTTAACCGCTATAATGAAAGACGAGCGTTTCAATTGATGCAGAACTATCTACCTTTAAATTTAAAGGGACAGCAAGTAATCGATCACGCAAATTATGGCATCTTTTTGATGAATGAAGTTCAGACGTATAAGGCGGATCGACATATAATTATAGAAGAGGAATTAAACATTTTCAAACGATAAAGTGATGAGTAGTTTTTTCAAATTTTAAGTATGTTATCACTTTTTCAAATTCGACATTAGTATGTCAGTACAGGGTGGTTCAAATTCGTGGCACTCTATTGGAATCTCAGCAACGATGAGATACAGTATAGGTTAAATAAGGACAATGTTCCTTTTTGTGAATAAACAATCGCTTTTGAAATTTTTGACAAATTTTTGAAAATAACCGAGATGTTACCGAAAAACTGAAAATGGCAATTTTTGTTTTCATTTTTCTTGGTTTTAACTGCCGGAAATGGGCGATTCCCGTTAGCGCCTTCTAAGTACATTTTTTTCGGAGAACCTGAACCTCTTGTCAGAATTTCCACAGCACGCTAGATGTAGAAGCTACAGGCTGCTACTTTCTATTTCGTATGGGCACCATATTGGATTTTTACGGAATGAGGAAGAGGGCAAAAAAAGAAAAATAATGACGTGTCACAACACTTTTTACGAGACTTTTTACAAAAATTTTCAAAATCAAAAGTTTTACATTTGTCCACAAAACATCCACGGGTAACTAGATCTTGCTGAATCAACATGTGTTCATGATGATGATGATTCAAATATATATAAATAATTCAAATGAATTTCCTTTTTTGTCCTCTATCGGCGTCCATAAAACAAGCAAGTGGTACCCTGTAGCTTCTACACTAGTGTCAAGTGTGTCATAAAGATTCTGATAACAAATTCAGATTTTTCGACAAAAATCCCATAGAATGATAGATTGTGCTAACGGGAACCGTCCATTTCTGACAGTTTAAGCTAGGGAAAATGAAAACGAAATTTAACATTTTAGTTTTTTGGTGGTATCAGTTATTTTCAGATTTTTCAAAAATTTCAAATACGTTTTTTTAGTAACAAAAATTTGCCACCCTCAACCTACACTGTATCTCTCACCGTTAGGGAGATCCCAATGGTGAGCCACGAATTTGAACCAACCTTTACACACTTTTTTGACAAACACTTATTAACAATGTTGCTCGTTTATGATTTTGGACTTTCTGTTCGTCCATTTGTTTGGGTACATGATAACTCGCGAACGGTTTCGAATTTTCCAATTCTGTTTTCGGTAATAGCTAAACAATGATCAAGCAAGTTAGTAACACTAACTGATTAAATGTTGATCATTTGGACTTTCTGCCTGTCCGTCTGTGATTGTCGCACGTTGCCTATATTGGTTTGAAACAGTTTATTAAAGAGCTCCTAAAGCGAGTTCATGCGTGTACATGATAACTCGCAGACGGTTTCGAATTTTCGAATTCTGGTTTGAGTTATAGGTAGACAATGGTTTCGTCATTTGGACTTTCCGTCTGTGTACATGATAACTCGCGAACAGTTTTGAATTTTCCAATTCTCTTTTCAGTATTATGCGAGGTATTATGTTTATCATCACCCAAGGAAGCACTGATTAAATTAATGTCTAGTAACCCAGGAGCTCGTTTGCTATATTTGTTACAAGTTTATTTTTATCTCGATTTTTATTTACGAGATGGGAGAAATGGAAGACGTAGCTAAGTTGTAAATGTAGAGATTTCATTGCCTGTCTGTAGTTGGTCCGTCTTTTTGTATAAACTAGACCTACCTAGTGTCGGTCTCACGTGCGCCACAATGGCGCCGTTACGTTACAAATATATACATAACAGTAAGTTTGCAATAAATTCTTCTTCTTTAATTGTCGTCATAAGTATGTTAAGTTGCTGCTCCCCACTCAGTTGCAGCTACCATTCATGGATGAACAATTCAAACCTTATTTTTTAGCAGCCATGCCAAGTACAACAGTATATTTGCAGTCACAACAGACATAAAAGATTCTGGCGCTATTTGATACGAGGAAATCCCATGGTATGGTCCAGCTCAGTCTAATGAAAATAATTGATTCTGTAACCTATAGATACACCCTAAACTAAACGATTATGTGGCCACGATTTAAAGGACGGCTTACTCATATCTTCCTTCCCTGACCGGACCATGGCATCTAAACTCCGCGTTCCAATTCCTTCCGATTTGTTGGCTATTCTCCGACAAAAGCCGGCGACCACAATAAACTTGAAGACAAGGCAAACTTGTTGCGTTGGGTGCAGGAGGTGAATTTAGTTTTATCATTGCTGCAGGTAGTTGATGTTAAGGTCGATTAAGAACTTGTATTTGGTTTTTGCCTCAAAAATCCGCTTTTATTCGAAGTCGGCAAATAGGAGTGGTTACTAATGCACGGAAAGGGGTGGATTTGGATTTAAACCTACCTGTAGGTGTTTAATGTAGGGTTGATTAAGGAATTGCGTCCGGTGCCTCAAAGACGTCGTTTAATGTCAAAAATTTTTTTTATTCGAAACCGGGGAAAACGTGGTTGCATTAAGAGATGGGGGTGGGTTTGGGTTTACCTACCCAAGTACCTACCTACCTGTAGGAGGTTAAGATAGGATCGATTAAGGAATTGTATTTAGTTTTTGCCTCAAACGCTTTCTCAATGTAAAAAATCGCTTAATTTTATTCGAAGCAGTGTAAAGAAAACGTTGTTGAGTTAGGCGAAAGGAGTGCTTATGTAGGGTTGAATAAGGGATTGTATTTAGTCTTTGCGCAAATGTGTTTCTAAATGTCAAAAATCGCTTTTTATTCAAAGCCAGGGAAAAAAGTGGTTGCGTTAGGGGAAGGAGGTGGATTTGGGTTTATATACCTACCTGTAGGTCTTTAATGCAGAGTTGATTAAGGAATTGCATTCGGTTTTTACCTCAAAGACGTCTCTCAATGTCAAAAATGTTTTGTTTTCGAAGCCCCGCAAAGAAAACTTTGCCACATTCAAGGCAAAGTGGTTGCATTATGAGAAGGGGGTGAATTTGGTTTTATGATACCGGTAGGTGATTAATGTATAGTCGATTAAGGAATTGTATTTGGTTTATGCCGTAATGGTGTTTTTCAATCTCAAAAATCGCTTTTTATTCGAAGCGGGGAAACAAGTGATTGCATTAGGAGAAGGGGGTGGATTGCGTTTTTACCTACCTGTAAGTGGTTAACGTAGGTTTGATTCAGGAAATGTATTTGGTTTTTGCCTCAGACGTCTATCAATATCATAAATCAGTTTTTATTCGAATCCGGGCAAAGAAAACGTTGCGTCGTTCAAGGCAAAGTGGTTGCATTAGGGGAAGAGGGTGGATTTGGTTTTATAATCGTTGTGGGTGGATTACATTTCTTACTATCTGACTTATACATCTTTGCTTATTAATGGCTGAATTTTTCCAAGTATGAAAATCTCGAGGAAAATCTATTGCTATCGCTAATTTCACGTGGGTATTTTCCAGCATGTACGAAATGTTGGGGGACTTTTGCCCCTTTTTTCAAGGCCTCGTTCTGAACGTGTTTTCAAGCTTTCAGATTTCTTAGTGCAATTTTAGAATATAAGAATCCTGAATTCAGTGACCAACAACATTCTAAAGCGTTTGCTGCCGAAAACCAGCAGTAACGCTATGCTCCTTTTGAAAATTTTGATCAAATACCTAGGGTCAAAGTGATAAACAGACAGTAATAGCAAAGTACGTACCTAGAAAGATTGTCGAGAAACTTTTTAAGTCTTCTGGAAGATTCCAACCTTCGATACTAACACAGGAGTTCTTTTTTTAATGAACACGTAATATAATACGAAAATCTTACTTCAGTATGGTGACAAGATTTACATTTTATATCTTTTTCCTCGCGAGTGTGACTCCAAACTCGTACCCAGAAATAAATCTACAATAAGAAAAAAAATTGGCCGCAATCCCGAACCTTGAGGAATGCTCGCTCAAGAATTTCAATCGTAAGCTTTGGATTAAAAAAGACTTAAATAATAAATAAGAACTCTATTAAAACAAAAATTGACAAATAAACACTGATGTAGGATAACGTTGTTCTACCACTTAACCCTGGGTGCAAAGCGTGTAATGAAACTGGCGTCGAAACCATGTGGTTTCCTCCACATTTTCAAAACCTCGTCCTGCGGTTTTCAATATATTTACTGTGAACAGGCCGGACCTGCAGATAAGAACAAAACGTTGGCCTCCTAGGTAGAGACGTTTGTGAAAATTTATACCGGGGACATAAATAACCTGATTATTAAAAAGTAGGCGTAAAGTGCTTGATCCTGGATATAAATTGTCGAGGGCAATTACACAAATATAAAGTGCTTGTAAACAAAAGCACGTGGCGCTGTCTCCGCCCATATATCGCTATTGGCCAACTAAGTTATAATAGTTGATAAAAATATGAATATTTGTGTTGCAATTATGTAGTCGTCGTGAAGTTTAGTGCGAAAACGGCGAATTTCTGCGAGTAACAACGCTAAGAAGTGTTAGTGCGATCGTCTAACGCCCGTAAGACGTCTGCACGTCCACGTCGTGACCAAATACGATTGAAACGGAACGTTTTAGAAAGTCAGTATCGAACACGTGGTTTCTATCACATCTAAATGAAAATGTGCAAAATGAGGCACTTACCGTTGCCTGATTCCGATAAACGGGGCCACCGGGAGTAGATCCGGGAGCGGTCGCTGTACTGTAAGGTGTTAGGGGTTTCTGAGGGGGCCAGCCCTGACCGTAGGGCTGCTCCGGATGTCCGTAACTATTTTGATACCGATGCATAGGATTCGAACTTTGTAATAACTGATTTAGCGTGGGAGTCGGTCCCGTAGGTTGTGAAATGGTCTGACCCGAAACAAAACGCTGTTGCTGCGAAAACGCGGTTGACGGTTGTTTGGGGCTCCCAAAACCTTGACGCGGACCGAACCCGTGCAAACTCCCGTCGCCACTGTTATGTATGTCTCTATTACCAAAAGGGAAGCCGTAACCGTGTCCGTCGCCAACCGGTGGTCCTTCAGATTGTGCCGCTGGCGCGGGCGGGTAAAGACCGGCCTCGTTGCCGGTGGGCCCCATTTCCGAATCGCTTAAACCATGTTCACTGCCACCGTCTTGTCGATATTGACTCATTGTGCCGGTAGCTTTTCCCTTTGTAACCACTACACTGCCACCTCCGCGAACACCACTCTTATCGGTACCATTTTGCAACAACGAATTCCGCACGTTCAGATGCTGATCCGGCTGCACTTTTTCACTATTCACGTCATTTTGCTGCTTTTCGGCCTGCGTTGCAGCCATGTTAAGGAAAACGGCTGCGATCTAGCACAGGCAATCGTTGCCAACACCCCGCCGTTATAGTCAGCAATCGATGCTTTTCCTCATTTTGGGAGCTTAAATCGCACCCAGCACGATTCAAACACATAATAAACTAGTCACTCGAACACTATTTTAATCTGTAAACATTATAAAACCACAAAAGTTTTCGTATAATCCAAAATGATGGACACATCTGACACACAACTTAATTCCGTATCTACTCCAATAACACGAAAGGAGGTTATGGGTGAAGGTGTTCGATTACTACGCCGGACGTTTTACGCAAATACAATCTTCATTTCTTACATTTCTCACTCACCCACCATCTACAACAACTCAATCCTAGAAATAACCACTTTTAGTTTATTATTTCCTTTTTAGACGAACCTAACAAAAGATATTTAGAAATTAGGAAGACCGCGGTACTACTTTTTCGCTTAGTTAGCGATCGCGCCACCAAAGGCGCTACGCAACAAGCATTAAAAACTACTGTTTGTCTGCGAAATTTAAACGGACGTCTTTGAACACATAAAGCCGTTAACGATATCTATTTATTGCGATCGTAGATAAACGAGAGTCCTTAAATGTTATATCTATTCCTTCCTATTTCCGATTTTATCATTTACAAATGCCCGACTTAGTAACTCGATGTTTTTTTACATTTCCTTACTGAATTAAATTTACCTACAAACGTAGCGAGTTTGGGCTACTTACTAAATTTGCTATAAAAAATTCGGTACTGTTGAGCACAATTTCTATTTTAATAAATAAAGCAGATATTTTTGTAAATATACAGGGTGCATGGGAATGATGGGACTTATTTCATAGCCCGAACTGATAAAGAAAAAGCATATAAGAATGTTGTGACTGCGTTTGATATCTAAAATCAAAAGAATTTAGCGATAATTAATTTCTGAGAAGGATTTCTATAATGTTCATTCAGGAGTAATAAAGCGCTTGTTGTACTTCAACAATGAGCTTAGGCAACCTATTATACAGCGTTATCTGCTGGAATAAAAACGTCTTGTACAAAGCTTCACGAAGTGAAAGTAGCAGTTGCTTGTAAAAGTGTGTTATTTCGGTCATTCTACGATCACCAAATAGCTACTATCTCCCTGTGTTTCTGGGGGAGGGCTAAGAATTCCTGTGACACAATACACTATCCAATAAGGGAGCCCGACCAGGCAGCACTTGCTTTTACTTCCTGTCTTTCGCAATTATAGGTTCAGAGCCCATTCTTCGCAATAAAGGATAAGTCGACCCTGTTTAGCGTAAGTTGCTTTACTCTAGGACCAAGGACCTATGTCTGTCTTAAATCAAGGCGTCATAGTGACAGGCCACATGCTTGGTATCTGCCTCGCTACAGAACCTGCACGTGGATTCTCCTACAAGCCCAATGTTGTGTAGTGATAGTTGACCATCCAGTGCCCCCATTAGGATACTAATGATCTGGCTTCTATTCAGTTTTAGAAGCTTAGAAGACACATTTCCCAAGGGGTCCTGTTAAAAAGGCCCTAGGGCCTAGACTGCCTGAATCCAGTTGCTTGTTACCACTGAGCCTGGAAATGACTGATCACCTAGCTACCCTTTAATCCTAGCCCTGACAACGAAGGGAGCAATTCCTAGAGTAGGCTCGGGTCCAATGAGGACCCCACCAATGCTTTCACGAGCGAACTCGTCCGCTCTGTCCTATTCTGCAGTGCCCTGGCACCTAGATCAAGCTTACCCCATTAGTCTCACCTAATCTATCTAGAGTTCGCCTGCAATCAAATGCTGTAGCCAATCGGAACCTGTCTGCTGACAGATGCTTATTACAGTATAACAACTACAGAGGTTCTTCTGTGCACAGGTGAGTTTATTTAGCTTACCTAGTTGCTTCCTGTAGGTTGCCTTGAGCAAGGCAGGCCACCATACAAGTGGACTTATTATCACTAGAGCCCATATACCATCAATTGTGGGTTAAAGCATGGTCTAATATGAGTATGGTCTGCTATTGCCGTGAACGAAATCTCGCATAAATGGCGCATGACGTCACGCGGATGTATATTCTGAAATATTGTACACGCGCATATGAATAAATATGCGCTAATATTTCGGTATTCCATTGCATGTGTGATAAATACAATTGTGTGGTGTATGGTGGCAATAATAACAATAGAAAAACTAAATACAAGCTATTATAGATTTCCAAAACATGTTGCTTTTCAGCGGGGGATTTGTAGAAAAATAAACCTTCCAAAGGGCCGGCGAAAGCTGCTTTGCTCAGCCATTAGAAAACTTGGCATATATATTTCTATGTACCTACGTTTTTTGGCACCGCCACTATCACCATCGACCACCCTAACGTGGTTAGTGGTTACTATTTCATATGCTTCTTTATTTTCCAAAATACCATTAGTATACAGCAATTTCTTTGATTGTGCGCAATTCTTTGATGTGAGAAATTAATTATTAATTTATGGAACAAAAAACAATGAAGCATGTTTCGGCGGTATGCAATCGTTGGTTATGAATGGTTATAAATGTAAATGTCTAGTTCCATATGTGAACCATTGCATGAGAAATGGCAGTTTGTTATTGAAGACTACCTATATAAAAATCGTGTGCTGTACACTAATGTAAATTCACCTATTCTGATCAGGAAATATCAGAGGTTGTAACTGTGCTATAGATCCAAAATCAAGAGTATGGTATGACTGTCGAAAAAAAATCATATCTATTAACACACGTTCCATTAAAAAAAACCTTCTATTGTAACATTCAGGTACTAACAAAAAGACGTTTTGTTCGTTTCTTCAACATTTCAAATAAATTTTTTTTCAATGGGTGTATCATGTGTTGCCGACTTTGTGTTTAGAAAAAGGATTACCTAGTCACTAAAACAATGATTAAATAGGACTGATAGGCAACCTATGGTACGCAATATCTAACAAAAATAGAGGAAACTTGCCTGAGAATAAGGCCATAATGGCACGCGTAACACGTGGAAAAGTAGTTCGCAGTTACAATGCGTGTAAACATTGGAAATAAACTGTGATTAGAAAACAGTTTTATATTCTATAACGTTGAAGTTTGGTAGGTATTTAGCATTCACGATCAGGTGAAAATAAAAAAACATTTTTCCAAGCAAATCTTGCCACTCCATCACAAGTGCAATTTCGAAGCTATTGAGTTCATTGATACAGTTTGGCATTATGGATCTCTGGAACCTATTGATAGATGGTAGGGAATGCACAGGAAAATACTGATTTTTTATACTGTGGTGAAGAAAATTGATAGTGTGCAAATGAAACCAGGTAAGTGCTTGTTGCCCTCATGGTCTTGGCGTCTATATAGGAGAAAGGCCCCACTAGTTTGGAACCTCACTGGCCCCACTAGTTTGGAACCTCACTATGCAGTTGACCTTGAAACGCCAGATAAAACCTTTTATATGGATAAGACCACCAAGAATTTACTTGAAAATAACCTAGATTGGATATGCATAAATAAAGTATAAGATTAATATTCTTACATTTTCGAGTTAAAAAATTTATTTATTTTTGATATCTAGGCAAATTTATATAATCGAGTGACAGCACAATTCTTCACTGCGAACACAACATAGATAAATATTTGTAAAAAATTCTACATTTTTAATGAACTAGACTTTAACCATTTAAAATTGCAAACAACACAATTAATAATTTACAATTGATTCATACAGGTTGACAGCACAATTGCTCAATGCTAACACAATATACATAAATCTAAAAAATTCAACTATACTTTCATAATATAAAATCGTACATAACACATTTAATAATTTACAATAATACAGAATTAAATGATATAAAATTTACTATGACATGGAAGACACTTTGCATATTACTGTTATCAGGATGAACCAAATTCGTTCATCCACTTATCGTATTTATCTAAATCAACCTTCGAGACACTCTTATTATTTTTCAAAAGAGCCTCCTCGAAATCGCGTACAGTAACAGGCAAGTCTAATTCCTCCTTGGGCAGCTGTTTTATTTGATCCGGTTTTAAGCCGCAGATTTTGCGCCTCATACACATCATTGAAGCATCTCGACACACATTAGTTATGTCAGCACCCGAATATCCGTCCAACTGAACAGCAATATCGACCAAATTAACATCTGGATCTAACTTTACTTCCCGCAGATTTATTCGCAAAAGCGCCTCTCTACCTTCCAAGGTCGGCAGAGGGATATAAATTCTTTTCTCTAAACGTCTTCTCAAAGCTTCATCGATATCCCAAGGAAAATTTGTCGCTGCCAAAACCATAACAACTTTTCCCGGCTCGTCGTTGTTAGCTGTAATCCCGTCCATCTGTACCAGCAGCTCCGATTTAACACGCCTCGAAGCCTCATGCTCCGACTCAGACCCACGACGCGAGCACAACGAATCAATTTCGTCAATAAATATCGTGCTGGGAGCGTAAAATCGAGCCTAAAAAAATCACTCAAACTTCACATCCGCCGAATATTAAGTTTTACCATTTCGAACAACAACCTGACCATCTTCTCAGACTCGCCCCGATACTTTGAAGTGAGAGTCGACGAAGATACATTGAAGAATGTGGTGCCACACTCAGTCGCCACCGCTTTCGCAAGCATGGTTTTGCCAGTACCTGGCGGTCCCACCATTAAAACTCCTTTCCATGGTCGCCTAATACCTACAATTTCACTCTATTTTAATTTTTTACCCCTAATGTATATTTGTATTATTGTCATTTCATTTATAATAAATATTAGGAATATAGGCTGTTATTATGTTAAAATAAACTTTGTTACATCACTCTTAAACAATAAAATAATAAATCATTTATTGAACACGACTAAAAAAAAAGATTTGCATGTTAAAAGAATCAGCTTTGAAATTCAAATAATAAAAAATAAACCAAAAATTTTAAAAATCCATCGATGGGTGGTTAACATAAAGTCACAAACAGAATAGTTAACGTACAAGAACTCAATGGTCATTAATTTGGTCTTTAACTGTACCATGTGTCATTTTGGTTGGGACTGCAGTGTATCTCAGCTATTTTAAAAGATAGACAGTAGATTTCTCGATCCTGGGTCCTATTTTGTGAAACTTTTAATGCCACAAACAGAATCAATTTGTTTCTGGGATACAGGGTGAAAACGAAAAGTATGACTTTTTGGGATGGTACCATGGTAAAAAAAATTGTTGGACTACGGTTTCAGCGATTTGACCAATGGTGGTATTTTTTAAATGCAACACCCTGTATATGTTAACGTCAATTTTTTGCACTCTTTTTCCTGATTGCATTGATGTATCACAACCTGTAAGTATATTTTTTTAGTTTTAATCATAAAAATCAATAAAAACCAACTTTTTTTAGGCCGCTGTAACTAAGGGCAACCGATACCAATCAATAAAAATGGCAGACGATACAAACATGTCTTTTTAAAATCTGATGTGATATAGTATATATTATGTAATTATATTAAAAAAATATAGGTCGAATGTAATGTGGCACGGCCGCAGTTCAGTTGAAGCTGGACTGTGGTGCTAAGGATCCCTGGTTCGAATACGAGTTCGAGCATGGATATTTGTAAATGTATGGTTGGGTTGGTAGAGCAGCCTTGACTGAAACCCCGCCCACTCAAAAATAAAAGCAAATAAATAAAAGAAATAATCAAGAAAAAGAATGCAAAAAATTGACTTGATATATAGGGTGTTGCATTTAAAAAATGCCAACTTTGAGTCAAATCTCAGAAATTGATTCTGGATTATACGTAAAAATATCCAAAATAAACAGTTTTTTTATACCTTTTTTCTATCTTATATGGGCAGTAAGATATGCCATCCCAAAAAGTCAAACCTTTTATTTTCACCCTGTATCTCAAAAACACACGTAGCTAGATTCATTCTGTTTGTGGTATTATTCACAAAACAATGACACAGGGTCGTGAAAACCGCAAGTCTCTAAACACAGCTGAGGCATTGCAGTCTCAACCAAAATAGGACACATGGTACATATAAATATTTTAATCAATTTATTTTTAAATAATAAACATGATACCAATATCACTCTCTCGAAAGAATGAAAAAACAACATCTGGAACAAGTAAGGGTTGTTACAACCAAGAAGGTCTTTGGTTCAAATCCGTGTTCAGACATAGAAGCCTCCCTGTATGTGGAGTTAAATAGGTAAAGCTGAAACCCCGCCCACAAAACATCAAAAAGAGGTACACTAGTTCTTCTTTGAAACATCAATCTCTGCGGAAAAAGGGGGCTGATGTGAATAACATTCAAAGCAATCAAGAGTCATGCAATATCTGAAGACCAATACACAGTTACTTGTTGAAATCCTCATTGTCTCCCGAGTTTGTTTTTACAATCTTGAAAACGCACGTCAAAGAAACGGATTGCGCACGTGCAGAAATAAAATTCGTACATTTAGTTGCAGGCGCATTTTTCTGAAATTCAAATCTTTTTGAGTTTTTGGGAGTTTGGGTCTTTATGTTTTTGTGCTTTAAGGGAACCATTATTGAGTTGATTTTTTATTTTTTCCAGCAATCCTCACCTTTAAAAAATTCTGGCATCCACATGGGCAAAACGACAGCTTCCTCCAACAGACGTTTCGCCTCCTGCAAATCGGCAATATCATCCCAGCGAATATTTGGATTCTTCTGCACGATGTCCCTTTCTAAAACATCGACGAGTTCCCGCTCCATACCGTGACATTCAAACCTCTTCTCTTCCTCCGCCTCCACTTTCTCCGACTTTTCATTTTCCGAATCCTTTTGCTCCTTTTCTGGTTTGCCCGCATCGGGATTTCTTTCCGATTTAGATGACGAGGGACGGTCCTCTTTTTTATATCTATTTGGTCTACTTGAATCCAACTGTTTTTTGGATGCACTCGACGGCGTTGGTCTCGCAGTACCCTTTTTAACATCTTGCTTCTTGGCAGGCAACTGCTTCGATTTAGGACCATTTGTTCTAATCAAATTATCATTACAATACAATAATACTGTCATGAAGTTAATAGCGTGGATAAAGGCTTCTGTAGAAATGTGATCAAATTCAGCTTGTGAAGTTAGTAACGGTTTAGATATACATGGTACGGGCTAAATCGCCCCTGATAATTATAATAAAAATTCCAGGAATCCAAACAACGTGTGGCACCGAGGAACATTCGCTCGGAATTCGATTCCGATCACAAAATAGGAACTTCATACCAATACTGAGTGAGCCAAAGGCAAGATCGGCATAAAATAACCATTCCCTTGAAATTTGAGACGATATACTTCACAAGCAGAATTGGATCAGAATCCTATGGAAGAAAAGACCTTGGAGTGGGCTATAAAAAACCGAAAAGTGGTATAAAACTTTGTAAAACATTCTAAACATTTTCCAGTCTAAGGGTTTCCCGAACACTCAATCACCCTCCCAGAGCTTTCTAGACCCCTTCTAATGATGGATGCTTTTTAAAATATTTTTTACAACCTCCTAAGTGCTGTTCTAGAGCCTCTATCGTGCTTTATAAGCAACCAACCCAAAAGTACGAGTACAAAATAAAAACCACGTGGCCCTTCTACACCTCTATACCACTTGCAGAAACTTACCTAACGTTATAACTATGATCTGCTGGTATAGGTGAAGGCCAAACATCTGGGTCATTCACATACGAATCAGATGCGAGAAGATCTCCAATATCTCTTACAGGTTCATCACGTGACATAGGACGTCTCGCTCCGACTGGTACATCGATGCTAGCATCAATTCGCAACGTTTGCAAAGTGTTTTTCAAACACTTCACCTCTTCATATTCTAATGCCACCTTCCGTTGCACCTGTAATACGACTACTCCCAGTTCTTTAATAAATAAAGGAAATAAACTACCTGCTGCCATTTATTCTTCCTATTTGGTTCCGGAATGATAATTATTAGTCGGTTTATCATTTGCAATGATCCCTCATAGTAAACTTCAGCACTTTCGTAATTGCCCAACATCGACATTTCTCTCGCTAGTGTGACATTATCACATATCTCACGTACAGATATTGCCATAACGAGCTAAACATAAAGAAAATGAGAGAAAAGTACAAAGATATTCGAAGTTACATCTGTTAATTCTTCTCTAATTGCTAACTACCAACGGCCTCATGGATAGTATTTGCTCAAACATATCATCAACGTTTACTATAAACTTACTTGTATAACGTTGAGAAATAGAAAATTTTATTAGAAATTTATCATTTTACACAATTTTGGAAAATAAATAAACGTTCTAGCACAGTGTTGAACCAAATCCTTGATGACAACCATCATCTGTCAAAGACACTAGCATCTAGAATCCGACGTGACTCTGGAAAATGTAGGATTTGAAAAATACAATTTTTAAAATTACCGACGTCCACTCTACGTAATACAAAATCCATATAAGTCCCACAAATAAGGGGGAAAGAAATGTCCACACGCACGGGGGCCGGTAGTTGCTGATTCTCTACTGAGGCCCCAGCTTACTGCATGGGCATGATAAAAAAGAAGCTAAAAAAGATGATGCAGGAACCAGGGGGTTCTACGCAAATGACCCATATATACTTCTCTTATATATATGAAATGACCTCCCATCTACTGAAGTGAGGCCTCCTATCTACTGAAGTGAGGCAACCTGTGGGGGCTCTAAGCTTAGTACATACATATTAACACTAACAGATCATGAACAGATCTAACAACCAGGAAACGCACACTGCAGGCTATGACGCAAAAGCGATAGCGGTCGGATGGTGGCACTCCCAAGAGAAGCACAAATCCGTACACAGAGGACTTCATTGGAGAATTGTGAATATTTTTCATATGCCTGGTGTTCACATCCATTGTATTGTAGGCAATTTGAAATGAAGAATAATGATATGAACCATGATACAACAACTTAACAGTGTCATGGATATGAACGCGATTTTTATGAACGTGTATTTTAAATATCAGCGGGTAACACAACGCATGTGCGTTTCTATGGAGTCACATCGGATTCTATAGGCGAGCGTTTGAGCACATTACATTATTTTCTGTAGTTTATAGCTAGGTTATTTTTGTTCGGGGCCCACTGGGAAAAATAATGGCCACAAAGGGCCCCTCGTATACCCCAATTGGCACGGATGGAACGGATCATGCCTACAGACAAAGAATTGCGGCCCAATATCAAATTAGGTAAATAAACATTCCCTAGTAAGCTTCAATATATTGTTTAAAATCCTAAACAATTTTCAGCGCTCTAAATAAATCAAGGCTAAAATATTGTATATTTTTTCATTATTTGCTGTTTTTTGGAATGCTAGCCAAACTATCTGCCGATATTTTAGACAGATTAGACATTTTTATATTAGAAATCGAAGAGCTTAGCATTCCTGCGGTAAGTTAACGATTGTCAGTACGTTCCTTCAGTATAATATTTTAGCCGTTACTGTGGGAGTATGTGTGGTGTATTAGTTTACTCGTTTCGTTCCTCGGACTAGCCTCAATTAGAAAGAACCGCGTGAAACCGATGCAGCAGTACATAATCGGAATAATCATATTCGGATATTTGCCCCTATTATTTGGAATCGTTTACTATTGCAGTCAGGTTTGGACGTACTTAACATCACAAGATGCTGACGAATTGGAGAAAATTCAAATGTGGCAGGTGAGTAGAAGGTGTTTGTGCTCGGCACTTCTTTATCATTCATTCACTAGGGTTACCCTTACGGACTATTGTGGTACGGCTTTATTTTGCTAGCGTTACAAGTTCACTTCTTTTCGTTATACTTTGCCTGGAATCTAATTAACGCCTGGAAGTTTCGAGGAGTACGAAAAATGGAATAAATAGGTACTTATGTAGTGCAATTGCGAGTTAGTAGTCGGCTTGTCGCTGGCTTAAGTGGAATCTTTTTAATTCAAACGTCGTGGCCATTCGAATTTAATCAACAAATTAAATTTGTATAGTGGTTCAGTTGATCTTGAATTAATCAGAATCCCCCCAATTATGTAAATATTCTTCCAGTTTTTTTTTTATATTTTCACCAGACCATGTAATTTCTATTTTTGTAATATTTTTCAAGGTCCTGAACCATATATCACTACTGCCTCTTGGTAAAATCTAGGTAACAAGGTATAACCTTATTTAAAAAAAATAAAAATCAGTTTACGAGTAGAAAATTGGGAGTAAAGAATACAGTGGAAAATTAGTTTTCCATAATTCAAAAAAAATCTCAACTGCAATTGTCATTTTTTTTTAAATTTTAAAATAATTTGTGTAAACGCGGAAATGTATTTTTAACACAAATAAATAATTATATTTTATTATTATTATTAAACATTTTGAGGGCTCTTTTTCTGCACATTGTAGTTAAAACATAATGCCAAATATAAGAATGTGATATTTAAAAAATTCAATAGGAATGATGTAGTTATTCTTTTGAAATAATAGATCATCCATAACATATAGTGCGCTGTAAGTAGAATTGGCACTGTTGCTAATAGGAATAACTCACTAAAACTACAAAAAAAAGAGAATGACATTTGATAATTTCAAGATAGTTAGCAATAGTACACTGTATGCATAGTAGTATTTTTTTAATTTAAAATTATTGCTTTTGATTAATTTTATAATCCATTAAAAATGGCCAAATGTACCTTGCGTAGTAGCATGAAAAATAAATATTATTATTATTATTACTGCTGTGGTAAATGGTCATAAATCACACATTTTTAAGAGCCGCGATATTTTTACCTAGCTTCTAGCAAGAGAAACATGACAGATGGCAGCATTGTTGTAACATGTTGGTATATGATCGGGGCGTTGAACAGTGCATTTAAAACCTACTGTAACCAATACAACCATAAAAAGCAAATTAAAGAGTTACTTGGTCGATCTACGTTTAAATTATCTTGCAATTTTTGAATTGACTATCGCAAAATCTGTTCGAGATAATTTGTCATTTAAAATAGGTAGATTTGTAAGAACTTAAAGTGCCTTGAGGTAATGATCATGCTTTGCGAACAAAGTGTGTAGTGACTTCATACGTTCATTTCTTCCAATTATTGGCAATATAGCAATTTTGCTCATGTAGGTGGTAGATCTCCCTTATAGTGTAGCATTTGGTGTCTTAAGCTTGCAGTGCAGGTTGCATAAATTAAATGCCTTAACTTGTCCCACAGTGTAGTTCCTACATGAAACCAAAACACCAGCTTGTAGGAAGATTGGTCGATACGAGGGTCGTTATTAGTGTTTTGTGATTGTCTTCAAGTTAGAGTAGGAAAATTATTCTTAATTCATGTGCCTTTATTTTTTGAGTGTGCGGAGTTTCCGCGGTTATGGGGAAAGAATATTATTGCCTACGCACACCACTCTCCTTATTTCACGTTCTCGTTGATACATTTTTCTATCAAGGTAGAGAAATTGCTTCAGTGCCCAAAAAACATGTGAATGGTTGGTATACATTAAATTTATGCAACTTTTGCTTTTCCCGCACATTTCTATTGAAATTGCTCTCTGGTAGACTATTTGCCAATTATTGCCCTATTTTATGTAATAAATTTCCGATTCTATAAAGCACATTAATTTAGTAGTCCAAGCTATAGTCGTACGTCGATACACATGTTGTGTTCAAGTTATTTTTTTATGTGGCCATACTACCTGTCTCTCACCGATCTCAATCTTGTTTTACGTCTCTTACAGTCGAATGTTTATTAAAATTAGTACATACCTACTCTCACGCAGTTTGTATATCATTTATGACGATAAATTTACAAAATGCAATCCATTTTACGTTTTGTAAATGAGGAGACAGATAGATTTTTAGGCGACAACAATAATTTTGGCAGGTTTGTTTATAATATTATGCCGTGAATACATATCTGTAATCATCTAAATGTGAAAAATTGTTTCTCATATTTGTATAGTTGTAAATATAAATAAATGTTTGTTGTTACTTAAATTCAAGTGTTTTTCTTTCTAAGAGCATGGATTTGACAGTATTGATGCTGTATAATTCAAAGTTTTCCTTAAATGTGTAAAAATGGCATTCACCCCATTAGACATAGACTTTATTGGTGTAATAATACACAAGTCCTTAGAAATTTTACAGGGTTTTTGTCACTTGTCCATGGCATACTTGATCGTCTTGGTTTATCCTTCTTTATTATAAGCTCATTGTCATTGAATCACTCATTTGCTGGCTTGTAACTGGCGTTCTAGTTCAGCCTGGTCTGGACTGTTTACTGTCGGTGTTGTATCATCAGCATATGGGACTCCGTTAGCAGATAAAAGTATTTCGGGAGGTCTTTCATGTAAAGTATGACGAACACTGGCGCCAAAAAAAATCCTTGTGGTACTTCTCCTGTCTAGCCAACTGCTTAGGTTTCCGTTTAGGTACACTGCTTGGCTGCTGTTCTCGAGATAAAATTTTAGCAGCTTTAAGGCTTGAATTGCATACAGCTTTTTCTAAGAATTTGGTATGAGACATCAGGTCGAAAGACTTTGATAGGGCACACATTTGCGAAATACATTTCTTGCTTTCATTTAGTGCTGTACAGACGTATTCCATTAGTGATCGCATGGCATTGGTACCAAGGCACTCTTTAAATCCAAATTGTTCCTTTGTAGAAGTGGCTATATCAGTGTTCAAAAATTTGTTGAGCAGCGTAATTTTTCTTACAGCTGCCACCTCTTCAGGCGGTGATTGATATTTGTTCTATCCTTCTATGTATGACGCCGCAACGGTGTCCACGCAGGTGACATCCCATATGAGCCGTTGTCCTTTGCACCATGGCGCTGGAATTGGTTTGATCTGGTCGTTTTCCATCGTCGCAAACCTACAAACAAACTTAATTGAGGCAAGAGCTCTCAGAATGATGTCATTTAACTACATGTCGAGAATGTCTTTCTTTGCTATGACCACAGATTTAAATTATTTAAATCTGTGCTATGACCTTTCGACACTTGCATTTGGTGCTTTATTAGCGTTACTTAGGGGATGATATGTGTAGATTTGATATCAATCGCAATATCCAAACAATTTATGTGAGAGCGCCCTTAAATTGGATTTGCCTTTCTTTCCCCATACCTACAGAGAGACTGTAAATAATTTAGTTAGCGCACTTTCATTGAAAAATATTGGGAAACATCTAATGAGTATCTCTTGTTGAACACTAGGAGGCTATAGAAAACCTAATAGGTATGCCTTTTCCGATTTTGCAAAATTTTTGTCCAAATTCCTACCACGAGAGGACGCTGATTTCGACGAAATTTGGTATCTGGTGGTTTTTGAACATGAAAATCCAGAATCGGAAATGAGTTTTTGAAAATTCGACCAAAAATTCCACTGCAATTCTTGGCCGGACAACAAAAATGGAGAGGTACTTAGTTGAAAATGTCGCAAATAACAAAAAAATAATTAAATGATCTTCTCAGTGGATGATTGGATATTAGGCCGCCGACAATAGGACACGATCATTGGGCCGCAAAGGAAATAGGCTGTAGACATTAGGATGCAGACATTGCGACGCGGACAATGGGACGCGAAGGCGCACTTAGGGCGCAGACATTGGGACGCGTACATTAGGACGTAGACATGGGGTCGGCAGACGCGGACTTTACGTCACATACTGACATACATTAGGATGTGACGAGTGCATGTAGGGGAAGACATAGACTGATTTATATAGGATAATCAAATATGCAACAAATTTTGGTTTTTATGTATGTAGGCAAAGGTATCTGTAAGTAGTTGGAAAATGTACAGTTTTTAATAAATAATAATAATAATAATAATAATATCAACACATCAAATAAAAAAAAAACAAAAACAAATCAACACATGCCATATTGTTCGTAAATTTCTAAACATAACACAAGATACTACATACACAAATGATCCACAACGTATACATGTAAACAACAGTACTCGCTCACAACACGGTACACATAACACAACATACTGTAATATCTTCACCTCTAACCCAAACAAACACACAAATACAACTTACCGAACAAACAAGTACAACAAATGATACAACATATACTACATTCAGAGATTCACCTCTGAAGCAAACCACATTATCACAACCCATTAGTATTCAACCCAAACGCAAAAGCCTAAACAGCACTTTAGACTCGCAACATGACACACAACATACTGTAATATCTCCACCCTTAACTCAACCAACCACACAAACACAACTTCCTGAACAAACAAACGCAATAAATACAAGTAACGCAACACGCACTGCCCTCACCCACACGGCCTAGCACAGCTAAAAAACACAATACTCTTTCTTCTCAGAAACACACCACGTTATCACAAACACAACCCACTCGTACTCAACCCAAACGCAACAACCTTAACAGCACTACAGGCTCACAAAATACTGTAATGTCTCCACCAATAACCCAAGCAACCACACAAATACAACCTCAAGAACAAAGAAACACAATAAATACAAGTAAGGCAACATGCACCACAAAGACAGGTCCACCCAATAAAATCACAGAAACACACCACGTTATCACAACCCACTGATCGTATTCAACCCAAACGCAAAGCCAAAGAAACACTTACACAATAAACTCCATTTAATAAAATTACAGGAATTATTATAATGATTTTTTTGTTTGATTTGTTTTCCTCTTTCCTGATAGCGTTGGCTATTGTGCCCATCAATAGCTATGTTGGTAAGTATGAAATACATACTATCTCTAGATTTCCAATGTGATGGTGTGAATTTTTATTTTATTTATTTATTTCTTTTATTTTTTTTAGGACCCTACATAACTTCACCAGACACAGACACTAATCGTTACTTGATTTTAATCCGTGCGATTAGTTAACCAGGCTAGACCTGAGTTCTCACAAGAAACACCGACCATAATAATAATAATAATAATAATTTCAGAGCAGTCAATCATGGAGCATTTCACCACTTAAGTGCTTTCTAGAGCTAGCTGTTTTCTACAAACCGAAATGTCAGCATGAGCGAGAAAGCTACGCAAAACACTGTAAAGGCGCTATGGCATTGGGCCACAAGACATCGCAGGACGCATCAGACATTAGGACGCGGACATGGACCTTACAAAGCAGACAGTAGGGCATAGCTAGGGCATTAAACGGTATAATGTAATTAAACCAATGTTATTTTACTTATTTCATTTGTGTAAAAAGAAGGTACCTATATAAATATAGTTATGTTTGCCACTCAATGCGTTCTCCGATTATCGTAGTCGTTGATGAGTGCTTGAAGGCGCGTATTGACTTGCTGGTATACATTTTTGGCACAATTTTACCAGCGGCGAGTTTTTTGCGTTTAGTCTCCATGATTGACTGCTCTGCAATTAATGCACTCGTCTCATCCTAATGTATGCGACGTAAAGTCCGCGTCTGCCGACCCCATGTCTACGTCTTAATGTCCGCGTCCCAATGTCTGCGTCCTAAGTGCGCCTTCGCGTCCCATTGTCCGCGTCGCAATGTCTGCATCCTAATGTCTACAGCCTATTTCCTTTGCGGCCCAATGATCGCGTCCTATTGTCGGCGTCCTAATGTCTTCCGGCCTAATATCCAATCATCCACTGAGAAGATCATTTAATTATTTTTTTTGTTATTTGCGACATTTTCAACTAAGTACCTCTCCATTTTTGTTGCCCGGCCAAGAATTGCAGTCGAATTTTTTTGGTCAAATTTTCAAAAACTCATTTCCGATTCTGGATTTTCATGTCCAAAAACCACCAGATACCAAATTTTGTCGAAATCAGCGTCCTCTCATGGTAGGAATTTGGGCAAAAATTTTGCAAAATCGGAAAAGGCATACCTCAAAACCTATTCAAAGACATGGCACCTGTCCTTGTAACTCGTATGGTTGCTGAGAAAAAAATTAAAGAACAATTCTGTGAGGGTGACTCACAAACGAAACACGTTGGACCCTCGGTTTATTTGGAAAAAGTGCTTAGTTTGATCCCCTCTACGACCCATTTTTTTACATGCCTATATGTAACACTGTATAGGTATCTATAGAGTGTTATTGAAAGTTTATCCAGAGATGTTTTTGTATTTGCCACTTTCTCCGTATTTCTTTTGGAAGCTCCTGGATGACGCTTCGTGAACTTTTCCTGTAGCAGCCTGGTTCTACATTCTTTACAAAAACATTTGAAGACCTTAGCACTTACATTATAAAAGAGTTCATCGAACATAACACCAGGAGCTCCTGAAGTATGGAATATTCGTCGGCAAAGGAATATTTTATAGTCGCTTATGCAAAAATGGCATAACAGCTCTTAGGGCTAAACGTTTGGTGGGAGACCGTAGCACCAGGGGGTCTGGGGGGTATTCTAGGTGAAAACCTTATATAGTTATAGCATAGTATAATACAAATATTATGGTTATAGGAAAGAGAAGATTATCGATTCGATGTTGTTTTCCCTACAACTATCACAAGATCTTTTTATATTGGGGACATTTCAGACTCCTCCCCGTTCTACATTCTTCCCCACAACGTATAGTACACATACCATAACAAACATAATTGTTTTAAAGCGACTATAAAAAGTAACAGAGCTCGTGCAGTATGGAATATTCTATAGTCGCTTATGCAAAAATAGCACAAAAGTTCTTAGGGCTGAAGGTTTGGTGGGAGACCATAGCACAGGCAGTTTGGGGGGTATGGAATACACCCAGTATACGAAAACCTTATTATGGTGATAGAAAATAGAACATTATAATGACTGAATGCTCATTTCCCTACAAATATCATAAGATCTTCTTATACTAGTGGGGGGGCGAGGGGGGGGGTTATTCACGGGTCTGTAGTACGAGGGTCGATTGATAGGTTTCCTGTGTGAAATAAATAGAAATTATACACAGTCAAAATAAGCTTTATTTTTGGATGTAGTCTCACCGAACCTCAACGCACTTCAGTCACCGTTTCTTTAACCTCGGGATCTCCGTGCGGAATTGCATTTCTTCGAGCTCATTAAAATAGGCGTTCGTCGTTCGTGCAAAATTGTTGTTCGGTCAGATAAACATTTAGTTTTGGGAACAGGTGGAAATCTTTTTTTCTAATTCAGACCGTTTTTCCGAGATTGCTGCCATCGCCGGCGCACAGTCTTTACCTTTTTCGGAATCCATTTATTTGAAGTTGCTTTGTCTGGACGAGTGTAGTGGTGAAGTCCACTTGGATCCTTCGCAACAGTCTCAATCCCTCCTCGGATGTCAGCGTCCAAACACATATTGATCCAGATGGTGTTTGGAAACGCGTCATCTATCTTGCGCGCTGTTTCCTGCGCAATTCATGATGCAATACACTAAACGTACCCTTTCCGTGGAAAGGCCCAGACTATCAGCTAACTCGCGCTCGTTCTACCCATTTTGAACTCGCTTTCATCCACTTTTAAACTATTTCGTATGAAGGGGATGAATCACCCATTCTGCATTGCGGACCGTTGTAGATTCGGGCCCCATATTCAGGCAAACATCAATTCAGGGGAACACACACGACGCCATTAGTTAAAGCCCTAACTGCCAACTAACCCGGTGTACTGAATTTAGTGACTTCTATATCAATACTGGCGATATGAATGTTTAGAAAACAATTAAAAAAAGAAGACCAAATTTGAGACGTAGCACCCAAAAAACATTTTATCTGAAAAATTTTTTTGGCTGTTTTACCTATACACCGCACCATCCATAACATCGACATTTCCCCCCTCGATCAACCATTAACTAAGTTTATTCGAGGAGGTTGTTTAAACGATCAAACTGCACACAAACTTAGAACATTTTCCACTACAGACAAGAATTGCATTTGAATTTTCCTTTCGCAACTACAGAAAAGCAGTATAAAAGCGTTCCAAACAAGATAATCTTAAAACTGTATTCCTTTAGAATAGGTATTGATTGCGCGACAAATATGGTTTAGCTTTGAATATAAAATATTTATATTCAGAGTTGGCTCTGGTCGGGGGTTTGCAATGTTAGCAAGTATCAGAGCAAACACAAAGTGTAGTCGTCGCAAATAGAATTAGTTTAAAAGACTGAAGAAGACGACATCAACCACCGTTTGTGAATAAGCAGTTATTCGAATATCTTCATTCATTGTGCGCTCTCATGCTAAAAGGTCTTCTAAGTGTCTAGTAGGTCAGGAATTTAGGTACACAAAGACGGCTAGCTTGCGTGATTATAATGTGCAAACTAACTGAGCAGTTACATTTAAGTAAGTCTTAGGTAAATCGGCTAGACAACAAAAACAAGTTGAAAGTAGAAATTTATTATGAAGTCCTCCGATGGAAAATGAGAAACTTTGTAACAAAACTGCAATCACAGAAGTATGCAAAGATTATACTAGGTAAAGGTGTGCATCTTTGAGGTCATTTGGGTGGAGGAACGTATTTCCTAGTGTACTACTCGACGTAGATAAAGATTGGCTTTCACCATGCCAGTAATAACGTTTCAACGGCACCGCAAGTACCGACTGGGGTCCTCCGGTTACAACATTCCCCGACCCGTTCAACTAGTTGACCTACCATTTATTGAATCGAGCTTTGCTTCAAGCAAACTACTTGTTGAACCACCGAAGAGGTGCGGACCATCGCGAGGTCAGGTGCAGGTTGTGTGACTTTGAGGAAAAGAACGGCCGCAGTTGTTTAGAAAATTTTAGAGTGTCGTCTTCAGCGGTTTCAACCCCATTCATTATGTCATCACCTGGATGGTACGTTAGGGTAAGAAAGGATATCTTCACCCTAATTAATATGTGGTGAAAGGGTGCCGCTGGGTGTAATTGCTAAGAACAGTAGGATATTGGTGACTGGGACACTACTGTCATGCTTTTGAATACTAACCTGGGATATGATACCGTTAGAGTATGTGGCCTCGAATACCGCAATATATCCTAGCCTTTTTAACTAATTATTCATTGCAATCGAGCAAAAATTACAATCACTTTACCACCTTTGATTCGAACTGTTTTAATAAATAACATTCGTCCTTCGAAAAAATTAACTCGCAAAGTATATGCATATCGTGCCTGCTGCCCAGAATGCTAAGAAAATAATAGTTTTATGTTTAAAAATTGTTAACGGCGCCATTTTCGTTTGTTGTTGCGAAAGACATACCACAATTGTAGGTTACTAGGTTTAACGAGCACGAGTACCTTAATCCCACATCCATGTGCGAGCGCCACTCATTATAACATTAAAATACCTTTCCCAGTACTAGTATTACTTACAACTAATTACATCGTTTCTTAGCTTACTCACAAATTATTGTTTATTTTCAGAATGCAATTTTTACTTGCTACCATTTACTCTAAATTCCCATCATGACCGATCTAAAAAAGAAGCCCGTTCTTCCATTGGAGGAAAATGGTATGGAATTCGTAACGGTAGTTTCGGTGGGTTCCGAAAAAATTCAAAACGACGAACATTTGGCAACAAAAAAAGATTCGAGTTACGTTACAGTGCTTAAAATCGGAGAAGAAGACATTCCAAACGAAATTACCGAAGAAGTTCTGGTGTATCGACTACCGGGAGAAAGATTAGGCTTTGGGCTAAAATTTGAAGGCGGAACAAAGGCCGCCGAATTCGTCAACCGCTTATTTATTCAGTCTTGTGCGCCCGACAGTCCGGCTTCGATGGTCCAATGTTCCTGGGGGAAATTAAGTGAAGGTGACGAAGTGTTGAAAATCGATTCTTTGCCAGTGACCAGTATGACCAGGATTGACTGCGTTCGTTGCTTGAAGGACTCAAACGTTGTCATCAAATTGTTAATCAGGCATTTTATTAATAAAAGAAGTGAAGATTTTACGGATGATATAAATTCAAGTGGTATAACGGAAGATTTACCTCATGTGATAAGTGCCGAAAAGAAAAGAACCCCGCCCCCGCCGCCCCCAGTCCCCCCGCGTAAAATACCGCGCAAAATGCTAAAAGAACTACCACCCCCGGTCAGTACAACTCCATCAAATGAAAATGAAAATGTTTCCCAAAATGTGGAGCATCTTTCCAACGGTCTACGGCGTTTTCAATCACCGCGCAATAGTGGCAGATTCCGAAAATCTCCAGAAGCCACTAATCACCTGTACAAAGACCGCCGACTGTCTGATGGAAGTGCAGGTCCTCCAGACGCAGAAGTGTACTTAGACTTGTTTTCACAAGAACACGGTTGTAACTTGAGCGAATCTGACGACACCGGCAGCTCAATTTCCACCATCATCGACAGGCTCAGTTCTTTTCCAACAACTACCAACTCGAGCTTTGCAGGAAGCTTACCTTCAACCCCTACATCTATACAAAGGCATTTGGACTTATGCATTGACAAATCTGCGGACTTTGATGCGATATCCAATGATAGCTATTGGTACTCGAACTTAACAGTGGAAGGGACCGACATAGGCTCCCTATTCAAACGGGATCAGACTATCCACGAAAAGGCCAGTAAAGAAAACGAAGCAGATGCAAACCCTCTGCAACCACCTACAAATTTCCAAGATGCTCCACTAAGTTACGGCAACGAAGACATGATCATACCCGAACCTTCTGTTAGGCCCCACTTTAAGGGAAACGAGAACTTTTTAGAATTGGAGGATGAGAATGGAAATTGCATTAAAGACGCCACATTTTTCGAAGGCTTGCCGGCTTCTGATTCGATAAGAAGCGACTTATTCGCGTTGGAATTGCCTAGACTAGTATGTTTCATGCCAAAATATTCATCCCCCGATTGTCAGGAACAAATCGAGTGCAACACAATCGAATCGGTGAAAATGTTTCTCGAGAACGAAATTCGTACAGCAACCGAAGACCATTCGAACAGGTCTTCCACTAGCAACATTTACAATAGCGAGTTATATAACATTAATTGGAATTTAACCTCGCAGTTGGACACCATTGGCGAAGTGGACGAGGAAGGAAGCCAGGAAACTACCTCATTAAAGTAAGGCATACACCACCACTATTAACAAGTTGCTACAGTTGTTTTGTAGATCCTCCACGCCGATCGTAATTGTCGAAAATGCGGACGAGGAGGTTGCGAAGGAGCAAATTTTTAAAAGATCCGATATGCCCGACGGGGCCGGCAGTAGTCCGACAAATAACCGTACGTATTCATTTTTTGCAATTTTTCCGCAAACGCTCGCTTGCATTTCCTGAAAGATGATGCTACAATTTGTGTCGAATCGTTAGAATTTTGACGAATGTAATGAAATTACCGTGGAAAAAAAAGGTATTTGCAAATTTCGTCACAGTTTAAGTAGGTACTTGAATATTTTTAAGTGAAAGTAAGTGCTTTTATATAGCTTCAATTATTTAGCAGTTTATTTCCTAAAGCCATAATTTTACGGTGCTTGGCGTAATGAGAAAGTTAGAAAACAGTACGGGGATCTCAAGTCTAAAAAATTGCTAATTGAATGCTGTTTTATTTTCTATTGTGTAATATTTAACACCTTATCGTTGTCACCCGTGCTTGATGTCGTTCAGAATTTCCGTTTCCGTTTTTACGAGTGCGGGGGGTACCTAAATTTAGGATGAATCTTCTTCATGGCTGTGACAGCAAATCTAGAAACGTTTCCCGATTGTATTTATTTTTAAAGTTTGGCGTGCTACGACCCTGCTTGTACATTTAGGCACATATGTGATGAAATGATGATATAAAGAGCAAGTTTGGGTTTAAGGGGAGGGTTGCCAATTGACAGCCGTTAACAATTTTGAATATTTCATATGTATACAAAGTGCACTTTTTACGAAATGTGGTAAAAAGAAGTTCGCGCTAAACATTGGACAATCGAATATGGTTTATTCCATCAAAATTTGTTTTGGTTTGAGGGGGAAATTTTTGGATAAAATGCGCTCACTAAGTTCTTCATTTCACTCGCTTCAACCCCACCAAAATTTAAATGTAAAGCTAAACGCCTTATACTTTCGTTAATTTGAAAAGTCTTTTCTTTGTAGTAAAGATACAAATATGCCTTTTGCTGCAAAGGGGTTGTCTAGTCCCTAGGATGGTTTAATACGTCAGAATGATCACCCAAACGTTATTCCAATGCAAATTCAAAGTTGAACATTTGGGCAACAAAATCCAAAAACAATTCAGAGATTGAAGTCATTTCCAGAGATTGATAAAATTTAGGGGTTGCCACCTCAGTGTTAAGGGATCACAATTCATCTTCAGCAATGTATTCCTTGAACTCACCATTAATGTACAAAGCCCAAAACAACTGTTGGTATTAGCGTGGATAGTTTGGGGATGTTTTAGTGCGATCCGAAATTTTCAAACTGTTAGGTACGTTTCGGCATGTCTGTCTGTCGGACGTGGGTTCGACCACCCTTAGGTTATGTACTCACAATATGGCGTCTATTTCTAGGAAGATGCATTTTAACAGAGGTGTGGAAACGAAAAAAGGAGGGGCAACCGATCCATGATTTCTTACCGAGGGGTGCTGGATATGTGTTTCTACACACATCCTATAGGAATATTTGAATCTTTCTGAACTACACTATAAAAAGTATTTTCTCCTCTAGAAGGTGCCAGTTGGCTGAGGTAAGACTACAATCAAGATATCCTTACTTGTTAAAGTGTTCAACGTAATTGACTTTTCCTAACGGTAAAATGTGCGCACTTTCTTACGTTTTCGTTAAAAAATGACGAAAATACTTTTGATTAATTATCTAAGCGTTCCGGCACATAAGCTTGGAACTACTCATCAGGAAGTAATGGAATTACACAATGAGCTCTAATTTCCCCTATTCGCATCGTTAATTTTTTTAATCTCCCATCTCCCTACACATTTTTCAAACAAATTCGAGTATGGATATTGAACAAAGCAAAGAATCATAAATGCTAGCAGATAAAGTGCTGTTTGGGCGTTGAAAATTATGCACAAAATTATGTCTCCACCAGTCTTTGATGTATCTACACGTACAGTCCATGGGGGTGAAGACAGATCTCAGCTACATTGGCCGCGGCCACCCCATTATTAGACGAAAGTTGTATGTCTAATAATAATTAACAAAATATGATGCTGTTTAAATGAAATTGACATAAGTCCCGTTTATCCGTTTATCAGTTTATATATTGACTATGCTGCTGTTATGGAAGAAAGCATTAGTACTCCGGACTAATTTGGTGAATTTCGGCCTCGTGGATTCAGCTGATTACCCCGAGATGCTTGCTCCCATTTTTCGTTGTTTAATTTGATCGTGATTTCGGTTGGAATCCTGCTGACTTTCATCACGTTTGTTTCGTTTTGTTGATTCGTAGCCCCCATGCTTGGCTTTTTATATCCACTTAATTCAAGATAGTTTGCAAATCTTGTTCTTATCCGCTATTAGTCCAGTGTCGTCAGCATATCTTAAGTTATTGGTGTACCTAGTGTCTATTAACTGTTACGTCGATGTTCTTGTTGGCTAATTTTCTGTCAAAGATCATTTCCGAATAGATATTGAGATAATGGGCAGCCTTGTCGGGCGTCTTTTTGAATAGGTATTGGGCCAGTCAAGTCGTTGTCAAAGCGAAATCTGGCTGTTTGGTTCCTGTAGAGATTTTGGTTCCGAGCCCAAGTTTTCTCATTTGGTTCATTAGGCGGTCATGGTCTACTGAATCGAATGCTTTTTCGTAATCAATAAAACAAGGGTACACTTTTTGTGTTCATAGTACCTTTGGAGTAATATTTGTAAACAGAAAATTGCTTCTCTGGTACCTAGTCCACTGCACCACAAGCCGAACTCTTGGTTTCCCAGCGCGCTTTCGCACTTGCAGCGTATTCTTTGCTGAGTCACCTTGAGGAAGACTTTTAATATCTGGCTCATTAGAATGATCACCCGAAAGTCTTCGCATTTTCGGCTAGTAGCCTTTTTTGGTGGGGACACAAAAATTGATTGCAGGCATTCGGATGGAATGTCGTTGTTATTGTAAGTTTGATTGATCCATTTCGTTTATTATTTATTTAGTTAGTCTGCATATAAGCTTGGGATAGGAGCTAGTTTGTAGATGCTTCCACCGAAGATGATCGTAATGTCGTGCTTATTTCTTCTGTAGATTTTTGTAGGTGTAAATCGTCTGTCACTTTGACAAACTTTTAGCACCGGCTTCCAAACTTGACTCCACGAGCCTCGATTGCCCTTTATTTTAATAGCACGGGGTATGGGCAAACTTCTCCCTTACCAAAGGAAAAAGTTTTTGCTTGACTGGAGAAATGTAATTTCATCCATTATGCATTTAAATTATCCCACTTACTTTCACACATAGCAAGAGAAAGAATAAATGTATTGATTCGTTCTTTGATTGTAATCTATTTTTGGGAGGAGGGAGTTTGACTTTTTGAAATTACCCTTTTGATAGATTCAATAGCGAAAAATTAAAATAGCATTTTAATTTTCCCGGTGGTTTTTTATTTTGTGTTTCCCGTCGGGATCAAGATGGGGGAAAATCAAGCACTTTGATTCCCGATAATTGCCTGCTAAGTTTCCCGTATTACGTGTAGTAATCAATTACATGCCACAACAGAATATAGTGTAGAAATTCGCTTCCCGGTGTATTTTCTTTAATTTACACTACCCCCTTCTTAATGCTGATGCATTTCGCGAAAATGTACCGACAGTTTTTAGAGATCACTCTTCCAGCGCATTGCGAACAAACAACAATTTTTCCTTCTGTATACACTACTACAACCAACAAAAATCGAAAAAAAAATGCATCTAATCTGTTGTAATGTTCAGCGCTGTTATAATTGTTAATAAACTACCTATACGGAGGAGTGCCACGATCGCCAATCTTTAAATTATAACAGGACCATAAAATGGAAGAATTTTAATTATATTGCACACCTGCACCTCTGGCGGCAACTATGTTGGAAAATTGTTTTAACATGTTAGACTACACATCCCACTTCAGGGCGCTACTTGGATTTATATCGTATCGTGTCATATAAACATTGGTAAATATATTTAAGTTCAAGTAGGAAGAAATTCGCGTAGTAAGCCAATGATTCGCGCTGTCAATGATGTTTCAGAAGGATGCATTACCGTTGTTGTACTTATAAATGTTTACAATTTGCCACGTAATAAATGTAAATATACTGTACATAATCACTAATGATGTACAGTATTTAATTACCACGTGGCTATTCTATTCAAACATTTTTTGAATTCTTGGCACCATTTACAGTAGTTATGTAAAAAATTTGAATACAATGATGGAATGTTGTAATTTAAATGAATGTCTACCGGTAAGATGAAGAAGTTAAATTGTTACTTCCCTTTAATATACATATTCATATATGCGTCTGCAGTAGAAGTAAGTATATCTGGGTTAGCAGAGCAGTAGGCTCAAAAAACTTCCCCACAGTAAAAACGATGATGTGCACTGTTTAGTTGCATTTTATAAGAGTTTGGGGATCATAAAACGCCTAATTACTTACAACAGTTTCTCAAGGACCAGTTTCAGCTCTTTTTTTGTAGAATAGAGGGCGGCCAAAATAGTGCACCCGAATGGATCGCCATGCATGCCGTAGGCAATTTCTCCAACATGACACTGACATGGATTTGAATTTCCTCCCTTCAAGCAAAATTATTTCTTGGGGGGAAAGCTTAAATTTTTTAGAAGGATGTCAGCTAAATTGTCTCTAATTCGAATGCTATAAAGAGCATGATCTGTACGTAATGCCCAAAATTTACAAATTGTGTTTAAAATCTCGTATCCTTTGACGTAACGAAACAAGCCAAATCACCCAACACATTTTTGTGAATTGAAAGCATTTTAAAAATACAACCGGTGTTTCAATTAGGCAATGGACCGTTCTCATTAATTATCCTATTAATTAGCCTATTATACTATTATGTTCATTAGTCAAAAATATTTAGCACATCCGGAAAAGAATGCAAGAGTGTAGTGTAAGTCACATAACCACCAGTACTGTACTAACGAATATCCCAGCGTTTAGTTTGCAATGATGAAATGGTAACTTTTCCTTTCTGACCACAAATAAATGTACAAGAACATTTTTTTTGGAACGAAAATTACATCCTTCGCTGTCTCGCACCTCATCTTCAAATGTAGTTACTAATTATCTTTGAATGTAACTACGTTATTTATACTGTTCA